GGGGGGCGCTGGCAGGTTTGGGGGCAGGACTGCAGGCACTTGGCAAGAGAGGGAAGGAGGCAGCAGCCCCCCGAGCGGAGGAAAGTGCCCCCCTGGCGTTTTGGCTCTGCTGGCCCAGACCATGGCCTCTGGCCATGGCAAAGCGGGGCGAGAGGCCCTGAGCAACGGGAGAGGCCACGGCGAGCCACTGGGATTTGGGGTGGCCGCTGTGGCCCTCCCGGCTCTGAGTGCAAAGAGTGAGCGGCTGGAAGGCCGCTTGAGGAAGAAGGCATGGGAGGAAGGTGTGGGGACCCCCGGGCCGAAGGGCAGGTGGGCGGGCTCTGGCGAGGGCCCCAGGCAGCAGCCCTCCCAAAGAAGAAGGCGGCAAGGGGTCCCCGCCCGAAGGCCCAGCTTGCACCCTCCTTGGGCTAGCAGCAAGAGCGATTTGGATCGCCTTCCTTAGGCTATGGGAAGAACAGGGCCTCCCTTTCCGAGTCAGCCCCCCCCTTCCATGGAGCAGGATCCAGAAGGAGCGGGCCAGCTAAGCTCCATATCCCTGGGAAGCTCAGCCCAGAGTCAACCTCTCAGGCTACCAAGAGATCCAGGGGGAGGAAGAGGGTGTGTGTGTGACTAACCTGCCCCCAATGGACCCCCCCCAACTCACCCCGCCCCGTTTCCCTGAAAAGATGCCGCTGAAGGCGCCCTGTCCTGCAACAGCCTGCCCCAAAGAGGAGGGCACTTCTACCCCCCCACTCCACCCCCAACCCCTGGCGCCTTCAGGGGGCAGGGGACCCCCCCCCCAGCACTGGGACTTTGAGGCTTCCCCCTATCTATGGGGCGGACGAGAGGCTGCGCCCTCGGAGACAAAGGCTGGGAGAGCAGCCGGGTCTCCCTCCAGAGGAAGGGAGGGCCAGAGGGAGGCCGGGAGGGGGTGTCCCTGCCCCTGACAGCGAGGCCAGGACGCAGCTGCCCACCACAGGACCCCCCCTCCGGTCTTCCTGCCCGTCCTCTGCTTTCAGGTGGGCAACGGAAGGAGCTAGTCCACTCCCACCCCCCCAGTCTGAATCACTGGGAGCTGGGCGGCATTCCCCCCCCGCACTCCCCCACCGCCTCCACAGGGGGAAAAAAAAACAGAACTCTTCCCCAACCCTCTTTGCCTCTTCCTTTGTGTTATCAGCTGGGAAAAGGGAGGGCTAGGAGGGCCCTGCTAAAGGGAGAGAGGGTTTGGGGGCTGGACGCCTGGGTGCGTGTTCTCTGCGGAAGAGAAACCAGGCACGGAGCGTCCG